TCGATCTGGTTAAATGACAAGATAAACTATGCAACCTCGTTGTCGTCGCGTCTTTGTTACTATTATTATAAATGTTTTATGTATAACGGACGTATTTTACATTAATCATTAACCGTTGAATATAATATATATATATATACGATTTTCAGTTTATTTTTTGCCCAGTGCACTCGTCCCAAACGTCCGAACTATTCTGTGGTTGAGAATTCCAAAAATGTCAAGACCATTTCCGARTAATGTACGCATCATCTGAAAGGACCATGTTCGACCGCAAAACCACCACACACACACACACCAGTTCATGCGTCGAAACTAGGGCTCTTAATTTTCAGTGTTTATAGCTTGATATTAATTGTTAACTATTGTATGTATGTATTGTCGACGTGTGAAATTCGTTTCGGACGAATTATTATTTATAGAAAATAGATGAGTAACTTAAATTTAAAACAAATTTTGGGTACAAAAAGTGCAAAAATTATTATAAAATGGATGGTAAACCATAATAGAGGATATATTATGACGTGTTGATTATATTATGCCTATATTAGACCTTCAGTGCACATTATGTGGTTTAGTCTAAAAAAAACGAGTATGATACAAATATAGTTAATAATAGTTTTTAATTGTATATTGAGTTGAACATTTTAACAAGGTCTCAAACAATGCAATTTGTAGTTACAAGATTTGCGTTATTTTGTTTTAGTGTAAAAATTGTTATTTCTATACTAACGATTTAACAAGCACGTGATTTTTCGTRTGATCGAAAAAATTATGTAATTTCAAAAAAATAAAAATCTATAAAAAATATTTTCATTAAATTTCCTATAATGATATATTTATAAATGTTTAGATTAAAGTATTGAAAAACGAAGTTCAATGTGGCCTATAGAATATTACCACTATTAGTTATAAATAAATTATCAAATTCAATTCAGTCTACATGGCAGTATTATTTTTATTCCCGTGAGTGTATTTTGTGGACAAAACGACATTGGTATCATGTCTCTTAATAACTACCTACTACATGTATACAAATAAAACAATTTAAAACTTAATTACTTATATTTTTATTTGAACTTCAAAACAGCTTATTGGTAAATCCAATTCTTAGAAACATTTTTATGGTATAAACTTTTATCTGAGTCAAGTAGTTTATTTGTTAATAGTTTTTTTAAATATCAATATTCCGCGAAGTACCTAATTAGACTAAAGTTACCGACTTAACGCTTAATCAAAATGTGAAATCATTA